GTTTTTTGTGGTAGATCGCCCATGTATTCTGTCAATTCTACAATGTTACGTTTAATGCTTTCTCCATGCCCCACATGGGGGATGGAGAAAGCATTAAACGCACCAAAAGTACCTTTTTTCTATACATATTGTGGGTTCGACCAGGCCTATAATGAGGACTTAAATGAAGAGGGAGGGGTAATGTTCCACATAAGTTAAAAAAACTGCAGCTATAGACACGTAATGCGAGACTTTCTGTTATTTGTCAGTCGATTAGAGACCTTCATATTTCTTAATGCGTGTTCATTAATTCGTGGAGGAAGAATCTGTTATATCTTATAGGATTAATTGAATAAGGATATTGGACGGTTTGCTAAAGTCGAAAGTCTCCCTAGAGAACTTGTTTCGAAAACAGGCTCCAATTTAGATGTTACATACGTAAATAAAACCCGAAAAACTTCACGTGGGATTCACATTGGTGAGGGGCAAACCTAGAACCAGTGTGTGGTGGTTTTATCCATTCGGCCATTGGTGAGTTCTATACATTAATGCATAGAGCCACAAGTTTAAGTTCGGCCCTGGGAATCGGACCCAATTATCTATTAAACCTGTACGAATTTACTTCTGTAGAGGAATATACATCGTGCATGAAATATTTTCTTACAATTCCTATTTCTAAACAATGTTTTTATGTTTCAATCGTGTCTACAAAAAATTTTCAACAATTCGCTCCCGCACTTTCTGATTTCTGTGTCGGCCAAAGTCTTCTATTTTCTCACAAATACGGGCAGAAATATTCTGTCAGTAGACACGTTTACGGCCTCGAATCGGGTCAATTACTGAAGTAAAATATGTAAATTTAAATAAACTTTCACGCCATTGGACGTTTTCGAATTGCCACGCGCGACATCATCGACTTTGATGGACATCCAGCTGTCGCGCAACCAATGAAATTACGACGAATTGCACATTTCTGTTATAAAGAAGTGCCAATTGCGTGTTGTCGGCGTACACGGGACCAAAACCTTCGGGAAACACCAGAACGAGTCGGAACTGCACAAAGAGAAGATGAACAAGTTGCTATTTACATTCGTCGTTATCGGTAAGTAAACTTTATAGAGTATGTATTGACGTACTTTAAATGATTTTGTATAGTCCAACCCGCAAATAACGGCCACCTCCCAGCAAACGGCCATTTTTAATAGCTTTTCGTTTTTCTAAACTCTTTCTGAGACAAAAATGCGTATAAAATAATCCACAAAATCTTCCATTTTTTTAACGTTCTTTCAGTGGCCGTCGGCCAGATGTTTAACTGGATTTGTAAGTTGTTCGATGATAAAATTTATTTTTTTTTCAGGAATTATTTTGTTAGAAAGTGGCGAAGGTCGATACGCGAAGATCGAAGGACGTGATCGATTCAATTTAAAACGAAGAAATTCCAGAGGGAGTGTTGCAGATGTAGATAATATAAATGTTGATAGAAATGCTGCCGTACTTGGTACTCAGGGTATTTCGCCAGATAGCGTAACTGGTGATGGTCCTGCTAGTGCAGTTATTGGTAGTTTCGGTGGTCTTGGTAGTACTCTTGGTGGTGCTAGCGGTGGTGTTGGTGGTGTTGGCAGTGGTCTTGGTGGTGTCATGGGAAGAGCCTTAAGAAAAGAAAATATTAGCAAAAGATTGAAGGAAGCACTAAGTAGATTTCATAAATAAAATGAAAGAAGGTCAGTATCACTGAAAAGAAAAATTTCTTAATTTATTATTGAATGAAATCAATTTATTTATTTTTTAATTATTTATAAAGTAATTACTATTTACTTCCATTTGCAAGTACAAATGTCTCTTTTATGCCAATTTGTTTTCCTCCAATTTGTAATTATTTTAAGAAATGTTAATTCTTGTTTTGAAAAATACAGACAAAATATTATTTAAAATAATCAAATGTCCTTGAATATTCATTTTTATTTAAATAATATTGTTTATTAAAATAGTCTTTTTCTTTGTAGTTAACCTATAATTGGTGCACCTCAAAGTAAAACTTCGGATTTCACTTCTATAATATAATAAATGTTATATGTTGGATGCTTCTTAAAAATTGTAACTGCGATATTAATTATTAATAAAGAGCTTTGGGTCGTGAAAATGTTCTTTTGTTTTATTCTTATTCGTACACGTGGGCGATGTTTCCCTGGAGGTCTTACTGTAAACTGGTTCCTATTTAGGATATTTAGGAGTTACTAACTTCAAGAACATCCGGAAAACCATGTGTGCGGCCCGTTGGCCAGGCGCCAATCCACCACCGACACACCAGTGATTGGTGTTTTTATTCACACGGTCACTTTAGGCTCCATATTCGTTCGCGGTTGTTACATCTTAAATTTAGAAATTGGCCGAAAATGTTCAAAATTAGATTGTTGCAGGTATGGCAACGCCACACTTGGGCAATCTGCCAAGGGATGTTTTCGGGACGACTGCCCCTATTTATATGTTTAACACGAGAAAAAGTCCACGTGGCCGTCCCGTGATCCGACGGACAGTGCTACCAGTGTTAGGTGACTTTATCTACTCGGCCAGTGGTGACAACCGAAATTCTTTTCAGAAAAAGCTGAAATTCGTAAAAACAATTTACTAAATTATCCTCCTCATAATATTCTTGAATTACCATCGGAGAAGACGTCAAAGAACACCTTCGTAATGTCTGACGTCTCGGGTTTTGACTCTTTCTATAATTCTGATTTCCGCGTAACGTTATAAATCTGTGCAAAATCGAGTAACGTTACGCGAAAATTACGTTAGGTATGGTATATTTTATATGTAAATTGGCTAATTTTACGTTAAAAGTGAAGATATTATGTATATAACTAGCAGACCCCGCCACGCGTTGTTGTGGCTCAAAATGTATCTATTATAAATTTATAACACTTCCCCGTGGAGGGGGATTTTTCGAAAAAATTTCTTCTTAGTGTACATTGTGTTGACGTACCCTATTAATTAAAACGCAATCAAAAACGCAAAAAACCGCATCTTAAATAGTATAAATAGAAGCGGAGTTCTTTATGGTAAGCCTTAATCCTAACCATCTTCCTTCAGTGGGAGGAATTTCGACACGTATATTATATAAAAACACGTGCGTATTCGAATGCAGCGTTGTGTCAAAGTTTCAAAGGAATCGGTAGGAACAAACGAACATTACATTTTTATTTACATAGATAGATAGAAGATGATCTGATTTCGTTCATTTTCACAGAAAAGAGTAATGCCTTACAGAAAAGCGAACTTTGGGCGTCGTACTCGTAGCGCTATCTATTGGACATAAAAGCCTTAACCATAGATGATATAATTTAATTTATATGAATATTTAACGGAATAATATACAGCCTGTGTCTACCCTGAGGTTCCATTCTAAATATTGGTGAAAGAATTTTTGAAATCGGATGAGTAGTACTTTCGGAGATTACCTGCTGCAAATAAACTTACATACTTACAAACATTACCTCTTTATAATATTAGTATAGATGATACATAAGTTTAACTGAAAATTGTGTTTTAATTAATCGAACAAATACAGAAGAGCCCAAGTCTTCGATGCTACTTCACATGGCGGAACACGGTACAAAAAGGCGCGGGAAGATCTCTGACGTCCCCTGGAAATTGAAAAGAACACAATGTAGAATTCTCGTTCCTTGACACACCCCCTCATTTCGATGTATTTCGAGATGTCGAAATATAGNTGGTTCCTTTGACTTTATTGTTAGTACAGGGGTCTACGGTTTGGGGGATCGCCACCTCTTTATTCGGAGGGTAAATCTTACCATTCGGATTTTAACAGAGCTGTAGGCATATTGATAGGAACAAAAAAGTCAAAGGAACCGTGCCTCATGGAAATTTGTAAAGAACGCCCACTAGGGGGCGTCCCGAGCTACTAGTATAATATAATAGAAGGGTTAGAAGTACGAAATAATCTAATAAACTTTGCTGTTATTTTTTGCCCGAGCCACGCTGGGTTCATCCGCTAATTTATAAATATATAAATTAGCGAATGTGTTGTTTGATTATTCTAACTTACCGTTGTTTCGTTTATCACCGAGTGTCGAGGAGATGAAATTGGGAGAAGGATGGTGTCTGGGTTTCGTGGTATCGATATATTTTCTTCAGAGCAGATCGATCAAAACAACTTAAAACGAATGCAGACGAACATTCAATTAAACACATAGCTTTACCACGCGTAATTACGGCACGTCTATAAATTGCAAACAACCAAAAATATTTTATTTATTACTATAGACTATTCTCGATAGTAATGTCATTTCATCTTTCGCTGCCGCAATTTCGTTTCCACATACAAAGGAATAATCTTTCTGTTTGTTTTTTCCATGGAACTGTTGGATAAGTCCAACGGACTGATCCGACAGTTCCATAGTTCCAGTTTCAGAAGTCATTAGGATAGAGATTTCGGATCTCCATACTTAATGGCATCACTCTCTAAACAACGCTACCAACTGGTCGTGATTAAAATCGTGATTAAATTTTTCATCAAATGTTTCTTCTTCAATGAAACAAGAAAAAAAAATCATGTTTTATTTAATGAACCTACAGTAGAACGTATCGACGGCCGGATGGCCGAGCGGTCAAGGTGGCAGCCTACCGCTTCGACTGAAATAATTAAATCCTAAATATGCGGCCGGATGGCCGAGCGGTCAAGGTGGCAGCCTACCGCTCTGGGAAACTCGGGATCGAATCCGGACGGGTCAAGGAATCCCCAGGAATTTTTCGGGGAGTGGTCCGTTCGGATATGTCGGGTCCCGTCGCTCCATTATGGGGCCGGCCGAAGCCATAATTAGCCTGCTATAGTCCCGTCGCTCCATTATGGGGTTGGCCGAAGCCATAATTAGCCTGCTATAAGAGGCCCTCCTAGTGCCCGCAGGCCGGAAGGAATAAAAATAAAAGAAAAGTAGAAGATATTTCTTAAGTAAATTTAAACAATTTGATTCACTAATTCAATATTTATAAAAGAATTTTCACGAGGGTGCCGGTTCCACAAGTAATGCCACTTGTTAATCTAATGTGGCTGTTGCGGGAACCTGGGAAATTTTTCCCGATTAAAGTTTATACATTATTGTTGTGCCCTTATCTATTATTAACGATTAAGCGGCTGGAGTTCCTGCGCAAAATGCTTCAGAGCAGCGACTCTCAATCTACCGCGCCCATCAGTAATCCAGTGCACAACGCTACCGAACACCGATATTGTTCGCCGCTCGCGTGGTCTCGTGTTGTTTATTCACGTGGACTTTTCAGGGTTTATTCACGTATCTAATATCTAAATAGGAACCAATTTCCTATATAGAAAGTCCTTCCGAGAGGCATCTATTATTGGCAGACGGTCCAGACGTCACCTTGCCTTATCCCGTTAATCCCACAATTGCATTGATAGAATCGCTCGTAAGGAGCTAATCGTATAAGGCAATCGATTACACTCATACTTTATTTTACGAGAGGAAAATAAATTAATAAATGGAACAAAACACGAAAAGTTTTCCACGTGCATTGACAACTTTCGTTAAAATTTGACAATTGACTCGACAGTTAACGGTTGTCTGACCCAAAAACGATAAAATGTGCAGAGTTAAAATAGAAAATATATTTTTAATTTTAACGCATTTTCTATAATTTCATATTTTTCTTAAATATTGCTTAAAATATGCATCACAATGCAATAAATAAATATGATCATCGCCATACTCGGAAGTGATACTTTCTTTCAGTTTAGTCCATCGTCAACACTTTAAAATATCTTTTAAATGATATAAATTCAGACAGATTTGAAATTAAGTCAATTCGTCTTGTTTAGTTGATGATAAATTATAATATAAACACATAAATTAAATTAATGGATGCACAGAAAGTAAACATTTGGGTACTCTTATCGAGAGAATTATTCTTTTCCTTAATTTCAATTCGTGTATTTACATAACGCTTAAAAATGATTGAGGATTCTCACCTACATATTAATAAGTGTGTGTTCATGCCAGTATATAAACGTTATATTTTCTGAAAAAATAGTTTATATGAATATATTATTTTTATGGAAATAAATACGCATTACCGATCCGAGGACCTCCATGATTTTTCCGTATTCAATTTTATAATAAAATTATCATTTCTGAGCATCCATTAATACTATTTTTGTGTTTATATTATCTTTTATCGTCAACTAAACAAAATGAATCGACTTAATTTTAAGTTTGACTGAAAATATATCATTTAAAGCATCTAAACATAGAGTTTACCGTAAGAAGGAATTACTTCCGAATATGGCGACAATCATATTTTTTATCGCATTGTGATGAATATTTTAAGCAATATTTAAGAAAAATATAAATTTACAGAAAATGCGTTAAAATTATAAATATATTTTCTATTCTAATTCTCCAAATTTTGGCGTTTTTGGGTCAGGCAGCCGTTAATTGTAGAGTCAATTGTCAAATTTTAATGAAAGTTGCGCACGTGGAAAACATTTCATGTTTTGTTCTATTTATGATTTTATTTTCCTTTCGTAAAATTAAGTATACAAACAACCGATCGCCTCGTACGATTCTATGAATGAAATTGTAAGATTAATAGGATAAGGAAAGGCGACTGGTGACCATTTGCCAAAAAGAGGTGCTTCCTGGGAAGATTTTCCACGGGAAAATGGCGCTTATTTAGATGTTAGG